TAATAGTTAGTTAGTTAGTTAGTTAGTTAGTTAGTTAGTTAGTTAGTTAGTTAGTTAGTTAGTTAGTTAGTTAGTTAGTTAGTTAGTTAGTTAGTTAGTTAGTTAGTTAGTTAGTTAGTTAGTTAGTAGTTAGTTAGTTAGTTAGTTAGTTAGTTAGTTAGTTAGTAGTTAGTTAGTTAGTAGTTAGTTAGTTAGTTAGTTAGTTAGTTAGTTAGTTGTAGTTAGTTAGTTAGTTAGTTAGTTAGTTAGGTTAGTTAGTTAGTTAGTTAGTTAGTTAGTTAGTTAGTTAGTTAGTTAGTTAGTAGTAGTTAGTTAGTTAGTTAGTTAGTTAGTTAGTTAGTAGTTAGTTAGTTAGTTAGTTAGTTAGTTAGTTAGTAGTTAGTTAGTTAGTTAGTAGTTAGTAGTTAGTAGTTAGTTAGTTAGTTAGTTAGTTAGTTAGTTAGTTAGTTAGTTAGTTAGTTAGTTAGTTGTTAGTTAGTTAGTAGTTAGTTAGTTAGTTAGTTAGTTAGTTAGTTAGTTAGTTAGTTAGTTAGTTAGTTAGTAGTTAGTTAGTTAGTTGTTAGTTAGTTAGTTAGTTAGTTAGTTAGTTAGTTAGTTAGTTAGTTAGTTAGTAGTAGTTAGTTAGTTAGTTAGTTAGTTAGTTAGTTAGTTAGTAGTTAGTTAGTTAGTTAGTCTAGTTAGTAGTTAGTTAGTTAGTTAGTTAGTAGTTAGTTGATAACTGTTAGAAGCCTTTTAGAAAGAGGTAGACCTTCTCCGTCAGACATCTATTTGTTTCTTTCAATGTTAAATGCTATATCTGTAATACGCTTCACTTTCAGAACAGGTCAATTGGAAATTCATTCATACTTGTCCTCAAACATGAGCAGTTCTTTGACGAGTCTTAGCTAACAATATCCACAGAAAAGTACCACATTTTCAAGCAAAGTATATGTATAAATACATAAATATGATGATTTTTTTTTTATTTTTGTGGGCGAGGGGTTATTTCAAGATCTGAGACATCTTTAAGTGATTCACTTTGGCTTTCATGCTGACTATTTTCATTTCTAGTAACACTTCGATATTTTATTTCTTAATTTAAAACTACAAAAAGTCCACAAAACTTTCCCCATAAAACAATAAATAGAAAATCCCTTAATTGCTTCTCTTTCTCCGATTTCAAAAATGACGTAATTTTTTTAATATTAACTGTATTTCCTAAGGGTTGGTGCACAAATCAAAAATCCAATATAAGATTTGCCATTAAAGCGTTAAGAAAATCAAACACTCATTTTTCTTCCCTCTTTCATAATCGTAGTCTTAGCATGACAGATGTTTATCAGCGATTAAAAAGGAAAAATCACCAAAGACATATAATAGTTTTGGTATTTTTTTGATTTGGATCAAGAATGAGATACACACACACATGAAAGCCAAAGAGTTTCCTTTACACACATTTGAAAGCATACATATAAACATCTATAGCCAGATATGAAAGTAAACCGACATTCATACAAATAAAGGCATTTATATATCTGTGTGATTGTTTGTTTTCGTGGTTATAAATATATCAAATTGAGTATAGATTTTTAATTAAAATCGATGACATAATACTAATGATGACAATAAATTTGTTTTAGGCGTTGAAATGAGAAGCCTATTAATTTCTCAAACGTATAGATATCTACATGCATATGTATGTGTGTTTTTATTAACCCAGCAAACATTGAGGTTATGTTTTAAGATTAAAATAGTTTCGAAATAAAAATTTTGTATGATAGGGAATTTAAGTGGTGTACACTTAAACAGTTTTTTGAGTTTTCTTGTTTTTTTTTTTTCACTTTTTTTAAAATTGTTTAAAACCACTTATCATACAGTGATATCCATAAGAATTTCTGAAAATAAAGATTTTTTCAGACGTTAATTTTTTTGGTTTATTGGGTATTATATGTCTAAACGATTGAATGTGAAATGACAATAATACAAATCATATAATGATAGATGGATGTAAATATACATATAAATTTTGTTAGTATGTATTAGGATGTGTAAGTAAATAATATATACTATATGTATATTAAATACTTGAGGAATGTTAAGATGTGAATACATATATATGTATGGTTTTATTTTTGATGAAATGATTATAGTTATCTATTAACAGACAGACAATGAGACAGACAGATAAAGTCAATAGTTTCTTAACTTCTATATAAACAATACAAATACATATAAATTCCAAAATAAACACACAGACAACAGAATCTACCTTTTTAAATAAATATATAAATACGGTATTTATTAGTTTTGTAGTGACTTGTCTTCGGATATGGTTATTAGTTGATATAAGGTGTGTTATTAGTTTTCACGTACTTATTTAAACCTATATTTATACATACACATGTATATATATACTTATTTGAAATATACATACATACATACATATGTGTATATATTATAGTGTATTCAATAAAGGTGTGAATCTTGTTGTTGTTTATTTTTGTATGTAAATTTATTCCCTTATTCCTTTAATCAAATATTCATACCTAACATAATAATTTAAAGTTATTGTTTTTTCTTAAATTGTTATTTTTTAATAGATAAAATACTTAAATCTTTGCTTCGTATAAACGTTTTAATTGTTTTTTTTACACTATATGGGCCGATACTTTATTTTAAATCATTACCCTTATCCATTTTAGTGCCAGAATCAGAAAGCGACATACTCTTGATGTAGTACTTTTGATGTTTGCAAACCATGAAACCATTTTTGTATAATATCTAAAGAAAAGGACTTTGAAAACTCTTTTGAAATATGTTACATATGGACAATTCCATGAAAAGGTAAACCACCTTATAACTTCTGCATTTTTGAAGATAATTCAAATTTTTGAAATCAGTCTATTTTTACACCTCGCCGCCATACAAACGGACCCAAAAATATCACTTTTTAGCTCATAATTCTGTTAATTATAATACTATCCCTTCAAAGATCGGCAGCCTTAACCTTTATGCCGATTTTCATAATGATTGGACCCCATTTGACCCTAGTTCCATTCAAAGTTTAATTTCAGAAAACACTTAAACGTCCGTAACTCACCTCTAATCACTAGTATTATGATAAAATTTGGCACAAATAAGTTTTATATGAATTAAAATTACACCCTAGAATTTTATGAGGATCGGTCCATATTTGACCCTAGTCGCCATATAACTCCAGTTTTTATTTTTATCTATAAATTGCTTAAACATGTATATAGGTCGGCCAAGTCCGACTGCACTTTCCTACTCTTTTTGATTTGTTGAAGTGTGTGTATGCATATATTTCCAAAATATATATTTTATAACCTAAAAAAAATCAAGAGAAAAATCTGTCACATACGATGCGTCACGTACGATATTTAAAAATGTTCATTATAAAATTATATTATTTTTTTTTATTTGAAAATTATGGATTACTAATTAAAAATATGTCCCATAATGTAAGAAATTAAAACAAAAAAAATACACCAACAGAATTCGCATATTTTCGTAAATATTTACGTGTACTTTAAAAACACTTCCGTTTTTTGCCACGTATGATATCGCAATATTTTGGAAAACAAGGTCCCGAATGGGATGATTCCTTTTGCAAATATAATATTCTTTAAATGGAACAGAATGACGAAATGGTTTTCCAAGTACTCCTAATTTTACAAAATCTATACCACTCTGAAGGCAAGCGAATGTCACATACAATCGTATGGGCAATTCCATACCATCGTTCGCGACATTTTCCCCCAATGAAAGTATCATTTATGATCAGAAAATGAGATATGTGATCATTTTAATCATACAGAAGAGTCGTAAATGACTTGAATGTGATCAAAAATGTTAAAAAATGCCTGCTGGGATAATACTGCTTAAAAGTGATGTATGGACGTTTAAGTGATTTTCAGTGAATTTAAACTTTCTATGGGATCTAGGGCCAAATTAATTCTTATTGATATGAAAATCGTGTGATTGTATGGTAGCTAGGTGTAATAATATAGATCATACACCTAGTTTTGTTGAATTATCTTCAAAAGTGCAAAAGTTTTTAGGTTTTAACTTTTTCAGTCGTGGTTTACCTTTTCATGGAATTGCCCATATGTATGTTCATAAGAATACAATAAACTAATTTTTTATTTAAACACTTTAAACACTTTTTCATTTTATTATATTCATTTTATTTATAGATTCTAATCTTTGTGACACTTGCTTAGTTTCAATTTCCTAATAAATTTAAATTAATTTTGATAAATCAAAAACATAAATCAAATTAATAATATTCTCATAGTTGATGACTTATGCTGCAAGCATTATTTAAATTTTAAATTAAAATACATAAACAGTAATAAATTAAATAAAAATATTGATATCATCTACATATCTGCTACATAGTAAATAACATGCAAAAATTAATATTCGAATAAGCATGACACTGTGATTAACTAATTTTTGGACTGATTAAAATCAAATATACAAATATTGTATGTGAATTTTATGGACTTACATATATGGGCAGATTCGTATGCAACAACGAACTATGTTGTACAAATAAATATAATATATAATCTGGATTGATTAGAAAAAGTGAAGAAGTATTAATCAAGTTTAATATTTTAATCTTTATATAGTTAAAGTTTTAAATTACAAATAAATAAAATTACGCAAATAATATTTTTATTTTTGTGTTATTTTTCACTATTTCTCTTAAAATCCTTTAAATAAACCATATTATTCTAGTTTACTTTGGCGTCACAATGCCAGACGTTATTTACCAGAGTTAAATAGACTACATGGTGCCATGATATTGATTTCTTAGCAAAAACTGCTATAAATAGCAAACACTCAAACTCAATTAGAGATACAGTTATATATAGTTTTTATATATATACGAATGTGTAAATATTTTGTGCAACGTCTGCCAAAATATGTGCTAAATACAGCAATAATGCAATAAAATTTTTTATATTATATTATATTTTATTCTTTTTCAGGTATAAAAGCCAGTTGGGAAGAATGGTGGACATATGACGGTATATCCGGTAAGTTTTTAATGAAAACGACAATAATGAAAATATTTTCTACCTTTTGCAATTAAAAGCCGTTTTTATACACATATTCTTCTATAATAAATAATCAATTAAAAATTAAATATTTGTTGTTAAAAAATAAATAGTTTTGCTATTCAACACTACTAACAAGAAAAAAATTAAAAACATTTATAGAATTAAATCAATTAAGATCACATACTTACTTACACACATTTGTAAATACAAATTATAGTCAGGTGTGTAGTCTATAGTCTAGTCTATAGTCTAGTTTATAGTCTAGTCTACAGTCTAGTCTACAGTCTAGTCTATAGTCTAGTCTATAGTCTAGTCTATAGTCTAGTCTACAGTCTAGTCTACAGTCTAGTCTATAGTCTAGTCTATAGTCTAGTCTATAGTCTAGTCTATAGTCTAGTCTATAGTCTAGTCTATAGTCTAGTCTATAGTCTAGTCTATAGTCTAGTCTATAGTCTAGTCTATAGTCTAGTCTATAGTCTAGTCTATAGTATAGTCTATAGTCTAGTCTATAGTCTAGTCTATAGTCTAGTCTATAGTCTAGTCTATAGTCTAGTCTATAGTCTAGTCTATAGTCTAGTCTATAGTCTAGTCTATAGTCTAGTCTATAGTCTAGTCTATAGTCTAGTATATAGTCTAGTCTATAGTCTAGTCTTTAGTCTAGTCTATAGTCTAGTCTATAGTCTAGTCTAGTCTATAGTCTAGTCTATAGTCTAGTCTATAGTCTAGTCTAGTCTATAGTCTAGTCTATAGTCTAGTCTATAGTCTAGTCTAGTCTAGTCTAGTCTAGTCTAGTCTAGTCTAGTCTAGTCTAGTCTAGTCTAGTCTATAGTTAGTCTAGTCTATAGTCTAGTTTATAGTCTAGTCTATAGTCTAGTCTATAGTCTAGTCTATAGTCTAATCTATAGTTTAGTCTATAGTTTAGTCTATAGTCTAGTCTTGTAAAAGTTTAAATTATTACTAAATTATCGATTCTCCAATAAGTATTTCATTTTTTGAATAAATATTTGAATTTTCCTCAAAATAGTTTTTTTTTTAATTTTATTTGCCATTAATAATGTTTACAAAAAATAAGTTTTTAAAAAAACTTTGTAAAATTTTATAAATATTTAATATCTGTTTATCATCAACTTAAGGTATTAGTTCCGCCCTAATAATCGTAAATAAATGTATGAAGTGCGTCATTAAAATTAAAATCATTAATAATAATAAAAACTCAAAATAAAGCACAATATTTAATTATTATATAATTAATAGAGGTATTTTTGGTCTCGGATACTTGATAAGTTTCCTGCTGAAATGATGTTCATGTTATTGGTAATGTGTATATAATTTTAAAAATACATAAGTATGTATTCGCAAAATCACTGACACTATACAAATTTTAACTTGAAATATTTCCAAATTAAAAATTATAATATTCTTATAGCTAACTAACTAACTAAAAAAGAAAATATTTATTCATGAGTCAACTTATTTCCTTGTACATATTTAGTTTCCAAATATTCAAAATCAAAATATTAGTTATTCTCTATTCACTTGGAAATTGTGTAAATATTTATACATACGTACATATACAGAGTGTAAAATAAAATCACAACAAATAACTTTCATTTATATTTTCAATTTAAAACTACCACCGGAAGCAAAACAATTCGACAGCAAACAAAGAACACTCTGCTGCAATAAAAACCCCGTAATGGTTTTATCAACAAAACATTTATTGTCGTTATACGAAAGTGCAATAAAGTAGCAACAAAATAAAATGCAAAAATATTAAAATACAATAAAAAATATGTATAAAAATAAAGTAAAATTATAACTCGGCCACTGTCATCCATAATGTCACAGAGCCATCATTTCGTTTGACACGAACATTGCAACTTAACAGATACAAATTTATAAATAAAAAAAATCTATATTATTCATACAACACAACGCAAACATTTATACATATATTTAATGAAAATAAAGCAAAAATTTATATCAAATAATAAATGAAAAACAGAGTGTTAAGTTAAGGTAACTTAACAACACAATTTTAAATATTTAATGAAAATACATTTACAATTGTACAGACCAGACTAACAGAGGTGGTGAAAGGTGAAAGGGTATCAATATACATTAGGGTGGAAATTAGACATGGAAAATTTTAATTTCCAAAAAAAAAAAAAAAAAAAAAAAACAAATAATTTTAGTATTATTTAAGCATATGTAATAACTTTTCAGATTTTTGTATCTTCCGACTTAATAATATATGGACTAGTTTATGTACTAATAATCTATTATGTACTATATAGACTATAGTGTTGAATACCCTATTGTCTAGTCAATGGACTAAACTACAAACCAGTCTATGGACTAATTATAGACTAGTCTCTTGACCAGTCTATTGGACAGTCTACTGGCCAGTCTATTGGCCAGTTTTTTGACCAGTCTATTGACTAGTCTATAGACTAAGCTATTGATTACTGATTGGGCCAGTTTACAAACCAGTTTATATAATAGACTACGGACTAGTTTGTGTACTAGCCCATGAACTAGTCTATGGATTAGACTATGGACTCGTCGATGTTATAGACTCCATAGACTAGTCTCTGTATTAGACTATGCACTAGTCCAGACTGTGGACTACCGTAAGGAATAGTCTATGGACTGTACTAGTTTCTGCAAAAGTCTATGGATTTATCTATAAACTAATCTATTAACTCCTTGGACCAATCTATGAATTATTCTACGCAGGAGTATATGCATAAGTTTATGAACTAATCTATAGATTAGTCTGTATTAATATTTGATCTAACTGATGAAATAGTCTAATCTATGGACAATTTTTGTACAGATGTCGCCTAGATCAGAAATAATATATAATGAAAATTATAACAATCGTTCTAATAAAAAAAAAGTTTACTAAATTTTGTCCGTCCATTCGTTGGTACAATTTATAATTACCATTCATCATCACTAAATAAAACTACTACAATTCGAACAATATTTAACAACATAACTTTTTTCAATGTAATAAAAAAATCAGCAAAGTTTTGTTGTTATGAATAAACAAATTTCAAAAAATAAAACAGAATGAATGAATTGAAAAGTAACAATAACATTGAAAATAAAAAACAAGGAAAAAAACTATATAAAAAAAACATGAAAACCACATTGTAAATTGGTAACATGTATTAATATCCTTTGGTTATGGCCGTACATACCCATTTACATACATACAAACTCACGTATATTTACATCATACACATAAACTTGTATAAATTTATACATTGTACAATTGATGTAGTTTTTCCTGTTGCTGAGTTTTTGTCGATTTTTTAACTCTTTAACAAAAAGAGGTAAAAATCAATTTCCTGAATATTTTTTCGAAAAAAAAAAAATAAAACTGTAAACAACAACTACAACAACAAGAGTTTCATACAATATCAATTAAAAAGCAGTAAATTTAATTTGAATGATTTTTTTAGCATTGAGTTATTGAGTTATATTCGTAGTCGTAGTTATACAGAAAAGCGTTAAAAATTAAAAGGAAAAGTTAACAGATCTTTTTTAATTTTGGTAATATCCTTGAGTATCGTACAGACAGACAGATCGACAGACAGACAGACAGACAGACAGACAGACAGACAGACAGACAGACAGACAGGCAGACAGACAGACAGAGAGACAGACAGACAGACAGACAGACAGACAGACAGACGGACGGACGGACTTTGCTTAATTGATCACATAGATTTTGAGCTGACTTGTATACTTAGAAGTGAAGAACCAATTTTTTTATGTTTCTTTAGGTAAAAATATCTTTAGTAAAAATTAGAGTAAAAATATCACTTAATATTTTGGGCATGGCCGATCATATGATACCCTACACCAGTGAGATGTGGATTATTTTTTATAATAAAACATATAACTTGTTTTTTTTTTTAGCTTAATTCCGATATATTTTAACAATTTGTTAAGAAAAAAGTGATTTACTATAAATGGGGTTATATAGGGACAAGGGTAAACATAGGCCTATCCTCAAACATTTTTGGAGAGGGATTCATATATGTTTACATTAAAGTTATGTATGCAGAATTTCATCGTGATACTAGTGATTAAAAGTAACCTATTTAACTTCAAGTCATTTTCTAAAGAGAACTTTGTATGGGGGCTAGGGTCAAATAAGGACGAAAATCGAAAGTATCATTTAGACTTATATAAAACTAAGTTGTGCTAATTTTTGTAGATATAATAGAATATTTAACATAATAATGAGCTCAAAAGCCTTATTCGGGCGGTAAGGTCGTCTGGGGACTAGGTGAAATAATGGATCGATTTCAACCATTTTCAATAGGATTTGTTCCTGATACAATTGAAGATCATGAATCCATAAATTATCTTCAGAATTGGGACCTGTAGTTTGAATAAAAGGATGGACAGACTGACGGACATGTATAGCTAAACTGACTCAGAAAATGGTTGTGATTTTTGTAATCTTTGACTATCCATATTTCACATAGCGGGAGCTAATTCTTTTGTTATACAGGAATCACATTTTCTGCAGAGCTAGACCATTTAGTTAAATCTGCTCGAATTATAAATCTTCTGCACTTAGGGTATTGTTCTAAAGCTTCCAATGCCAATCATAAAAAATAAACTCAGAGTTTAATCAGAAATGCTACTAGTGTTGAGTACTTTCTTTTTAGCAGAATTCCAGAATACATTGATGTCATAATATTGAACTTTACATAACAATCATAAAATACTGAAGTACTTACACTATACAGCAATAGATATATTTTTATGATTTTATTGAAAAATACTTTAAAATGCAATAACATTATAAACATTTTTTTAAATTTAAATTTTTCAATAATTTCTATTTTGTTATCTTTTTTAGGACCAAGTTTTTGGGGCCTTATAAATCCACAATGGAATATGTGCAATAAAGGTAGACGACAGTCACCCATCGATATAGTACCAGATAAATTATTGTTTGATCCATTTCTACGGCCATTGCACATAGATAAACACAAGGTAAGCGCTTTAAACAAAAAAATATAAAAGAAAAACACAAAAATCATTTTTGCACACAATTGCAAAAATCAAACAGAAAAGGTAAAAAAGAAACTGAATTACAAAAAAAAGTCAAACAAACTGCTAAACAAATTAACAAGTAATACAAAAGTTTGAAAATCTATTTTTTTTTCTCTCTCTCCCAATCTCTCTTTCTCTTTTCCAACAACCACAATGTCTGTGTCACTCTGTGCATTTTGTTTCAATGTGTTTATGTGCTGTGTTATCATTAGGTTTCCGGTACACTACACAATACAGGTCAATCGCTTGTCTTTCGCGTTGACAAAGATACAAAGCAACATGTTAACATATCCGGTGGCCCCTTGGCATACAAGTATCAATTTGAGGAGATATACATACATTATGGTACGGAAAATACACGTGGATCAGAACACTATATACAGGGTTATAGTTTTCCAGGAGAGGTAAGTTTTAAAATAATAATATTAAATGTTTATTTTTATAACAAAAAAAAAAATAATAATAATCATATTTTTAGATACAAATCTATGGCTTCAACAAGGAATTGTATCATAATATGTCCGAAGCTCAACATAAATCCCAGGGCATTGTTGGTCTTTCGCTAATGGTACAAATTGGTGAAACACCAAATCCTGAATTGCGCATCATAACAAGTACATTTAACAAGGTGCTATTTAGAGGTGAGTACAAACACGATGACTCTGCATATTATTCTTTAAAAAAAATATGACTTAAATAGGTCAACATGTCAATTTGTTGACTTCACTAAATGTCGAGTGGGTGGGTGGGTGTTTTGCGTATAGAGAGTAGTGATGATTGACATGTACAAGCAGGTGTCAAATATTGTGGCATTTACAAGACTTTATATATTTCCGGTCATTTAAAATCATACATACTCATACAAGCATACATAATTGCATAAATATAGTTTAAAATATCATGACCTTATTTGTTTAGGCCACTAAACAAGAAAAATAAAAATGAACTCATTTAACATTCACAATTTTTTCTCCTAAATTAGGTAAAGTTTATAATGTTGCAAGTTCTGTGCTGTTGTGAATATATTTATTTTTTTTTATTATGGCGTTCTACCACAATGTGAATTGAAAGTAGATGAAGAACAACAACAATGGCAACATCATCGTCATCATCATCATAATAATAATCATAAAAATGCTTCTGTTGTTGACCGTCTTTGCCTACAAAACATTTACAGTTACGTGAATTTCCTTTTCCTTTTTCATACCGTTATACAACTATTACAACAACGATAACATAAACATACCCTCATGCACGTTTACTACATTAAAAAATAGTAAAAAAAAAACAGAAATTGCACCCAACTATCAAATCCACCAACTGAAAAATATCCGCGGAAAAAGTTGTATGAAGTGAAACTAGTAAATGGCATAAAATTATGCATACTTTCTTTTTTTCCACCCATTAAAGCCAATAAAAATATTTTATAATATACAACAACATAACTAACACGTAATGTCGGGTTTCCCCCCATTATATTATTAAACAAGTTTATTTTTTAGTTGTTTTTTTTCGCTTTTTTCCTTCTACAAAATAACTATAATTTTCATTTCTTGCCTTCACTTTACTTTCACTTGCGCCAGGGTGGCATATTTAGTGGTACATTAGATTTGTTAATGTATAAGTTCATTAAAGAGTGTGTTTTTTAAATAATTTCATAAATATTTTTACTTTAATGTCAACGAGCGTTTTGTTGAATTTTATTTAAATTCATTTTTAGGGGGAAACTTGTTGCAGCAGAGATAAAAAGTCAAGTTTAGTATACTCCTCGTTTTATAACATTATAGTTGTTTTCGTCTATTAAACCTAATAATTTTATATATTTATTAAAACAGTCAACTTCATCTTGTTTAGTTTGAAAGAAAATCTAAATAAATAGATCTAGGCCACTAAAGGGTCTATTGTGCTCTCTTTTGCGAATCTAACCGACTATCTCTGCACTGACAGACTACAACACTACGAACTAACCTTCGGAAGCACCCACATTGCTATTATTTTGTTGAACATTTTTTGATGACAGTCGAATTACCGCATACGTGATCCCGTAAAATTATTCGATATCGAAGAAAAAGTCATACTTGTGTTAGTTACGAAAGCTCATTCGATATAGTAATTACATCATTTCATCCCAGCAAAAACTGGGTAATGTCTATCAATTATAATTGATTACCTCACAACATACTTTTCAGTGACTACTGCATATCATCTGGATTACATAAAGTAGTCTAATAAGGTCTTACTAATAATGTATTATATAAATACTTTCTAATTCATTAGTCATCTTGCCAGTGAGGATATAGAACCTGTATACGTTTTTTCATGCGATTTATAATGACTACTTTTTCTAGTTACTTGTAATCATTTGTGGTAAGTACTTGCCTCCAGTGTGTAATTAAATTTTAGTATTTTAACCCCTTACATGGTAATGAAAGTTTTACAGGGATGTTTTTAGTAGAAAATTTAAATTTTTTATGAAATATTGAATCGGAATCACTTATTTACTCAGTGCTTTGTACATATACATAGAGAGTTTTATTACAACCACATCCAATATATTTTTAAAACGCACAACAGGTTTCAAATAAATTTTCTAAAACCTTTTAATATAATCTCTACATCTACTCTAATCATAAATGGCAAACTTTAGTTATTTCAAATCCACCTAGTAGTTGTCCATCACATTCGTTATCAATGTCCTCTGAGTAAAACATACATAAATACATATTTCCAATATTATTTTCTCTTATTGCACTTCATGTCTTTGTTTGTCTTTCCCACTTCTACTGCGACTACAACAGTTTGTTGCTCTTGTTTATGGCAGTTGAAAATTGTTTAAATTATTTCATGCAACAGCCTAGTAGACATCTAACAATTGCCTCATGCAGTTTGTTGCTGCCATTTCTATAGATTTTACGAACACAAACAACAAAACGAAAAGTGAGAAAAAATGTCGAGAAAAGTTTTATTCTCACAGCAACGGAAATAGCGCGAAAATTTAAACCAACACTTAAAGTTTTTTTATTACTTTTATGTTTTCGGAAGAGTAGAAGGAAGTTTAGTGGCTATAATAAATAAATATATCTACATAAAGGTAGAGGAAATATTTAAATAAGTATTTAAATGGAATATATCTAGATTACAAACATATGTAAATGGTAGTCATCGATTATATAATTTTCTTATTTCAGGATTTTCAACACCCATCAGACATTTGTCTGTACGTGCTCTGCTGCCAAATACAGATCATTATATTACCTACGAAGGATCCACCACACATCCCGGCTGCTGGGAAAGTACTGTCTGGATTATAGTTAATAAACCTATTTATATTACAAAACAAGAGGTAAGCTAATGTTAATTTTAATTAGAAACATTATTAATTATATAATTTTGAATCATTTGGAATTTTTTGTGGGAGTTTTTATTCATTATCCCCGAAGTAAAAAAAAAAAAAACAAGTAGAAAAGTATAGTCGGACATGACCGACTATACCCCACACCCAGTACTAAAGGAACTCAACTCCAAACTATATTTTTGCGTGTTTATATTCTTTAAGATTTAAATTATTCACAAGATACTTGTTTATCTCTATAATAATAGTGTATTCTGTTGTTGTTAACTGTTCAAGAAAAAACGTTATGCATTCCTTTCTTTATGTTTCAGAATTTGTAAAAAATTTGTTCCCTTTTCTGAAAAAATTTTGAGTTGTGTCACTTTTGTACTGGGTGTGCGATATGATGTGTATTTTAAAAATTAATTATTTTTTATAAAGTAACTGAATTTTATGAATAATGAATTTTACCTTAATTCCGGTGTACTTAAGGAATTTATTGATGAAAAAGACAATTTCTAAAAGAGGCTTTATATGGAAGTTAGGGTCAAATATGGGCCGATCCTCAAAAAATTGAGAGGAGGGAAGTATTTTTATATAAAAGTTAGTTATACTGAATTTCATCGCGACACAAATGGTTATAAGTCAATATAGGACGTTTAAGATATTTTTCAAAGGGGGTTTATATGGGGGCTAGGGCCAAATAAGGGCCTATCAGTACAGAAATCGTCACGGTTATTTGCGCCTATATAAAACTCAGTTGTTCCAATTTTTGAAGAGAAAGTTGTTTATTTGACGTAGTAATAAGTTAAAAATCCTAAATCAGAAGGTCCGGCTGTATGGGGGCTAGGTGAAATAATGGACCGATTTCAACCATTTTTAATAAGCTTTGTCCTTGTGCCAAAAAACATGTATGGTTCAAATTTTATTAAAATATTTTTTAAATTGCGGTCTGTAGCTTTCGCACAAGGTTTACATGAACAACCAGCCGGATACAAGGACATGTCTTAATAGACTTAGATTCTGAGTATACTTTAAAGTGGTAGTATGACCAATATTTTTGTGAGTTGTAAACATCAGCACAAACCCATATTCCCTCGCCACTATAGTGTTGTAGGGTATAAACAGTAAAAAATTACTGAGTAGACTGTGGTATAGTTGATTGACTTCACAGTAATCTAGTCTGTTGACTATACAGTGGTCTAGTCTATTGACAATACAGTATTATAGTCTAATGACTTAACAGTTTTGAAATCTATTGACTAGAGAATGTTCTATTCTATTGACTAGGTAGTGCTCTAATCTTTTGATAAAGCAGTGAAGTAGTCTATTAACTATAAAGTGGTCTAGTCTGTTGAGTAGACAGACGTCTAGCCTGTTGGCCAAATAGTAATCCAGAATGGGATCAAGCCTATGCACTAGACAGTAATAAATTATAATGAGTCTGTTAACTGTACAGTAATCTAGTCTATTGAGCACTCTCTAATCTATGAAATTTTCTAGGCAATGGTCTAGTCTATTGCATAGAAAGTTGTCCTGTCTATTGACTTGACAGTGGTTTAGTATTTTAGACACTGATCTAATCTATCGGCTAGACATTGGTATATCTTACTGACTAAACAGTAGTCTTGTTTCTTCACTGGTCTAGCTTAATGACTAGTCAGGAGTCTCTTCCATTTACTGGATTGTGGACTAGCCTATCGATTAAACAGTGTGTTGTTAATAGATATTGGTCTAATTAATCCAGTCATGTTTAATTAATCCAGTCATGTTTATTCACTAGACAGGAATCTGGTATAATGACTAGACAATGGTCTAGTCTTTCGTCTAGACAGTGATCTGCTATATTAATTAGACACCAGTTTAGCCTATTAATATATTTACTAGACTGTGGTCTAGTCAATTGCCTAGACAGTGGTCTGCTCTATTAATTAAATACTACTATAGTCTATTAACTAGACAGTGGTGCAGTCCATTGACTAGACAGTTTTTAGACTATTGACGAAACAAACAGCGGTCTAATCTATTTACCAGACAGTGTTATATATAGTAGTGTAGACTTTAAAAGAGATAATGATCTAGTATGTATATCGACTAGACATTGATCTATTCTATGGATTAGAAATTAGTTTAGATTATTGACATTTAAGTCTGAGGGCTTATATCTTAAGAACATTATATAGTATTATCGGTTTATTCCAATTTCCAGCAGTGTATTCAAATATAATCAAAAGTTTTTGCTTTGCTAACAAATTCACTTATAACAAATTCAAAAATTTTACATTTATCAAATAAATATCAAAAAAAAAGAAGAAAAAATTCTCTTTATGTGCAATTAATTAAATTGTAAAAAATCAATTAGTTTTTAAAATAAAAATATTTTATTTCAACTATGAATAAGCATATCAATAGGAAATGTTTTCGTAAATTATTATATACATAGACATAATCATGCATTTCAATGCAAATACATATGTATGTGTATATGTAAAAATGTGGTATTTATGGTTAAATGGTAAATACTTTATAAAACCTGTGTACTGAAAAATAACCAAGCTGATGGATTCAGGTTGCATATCTATACATATGTATTTATTTTTACATTTGTATTTATTTTAGTGTATTTATATGTGTATGTATAGATAATTAAACAATAACAAAAAATCATGACATAAATATAGAAAAATTTTTAAAATGAATTATAATTAATACATTTTACATTTAAATGCTTTAATTATAATAGAATAGAATATAAATATTTATTTGCAGAGATGTGAGTAATCCAATTCCCATAGGAAAATCAGAAATAGAAAGGAAATATGTTTATTTGTAAAACATGTTTATTAAAAAAACATGAAATAAATTGGTAAATTAAAGTTATAAAATAATGCAGTTTATTTCTATATATACATCGATTTGTTAGAGTATACTAATGCGGGTATTTATAAGTAGTTTATTAACAATTTCTTCTTAAAAAATCCAGTAATAATTCTGTTAATAACTTTATAACTCGGTTGAGAAATTTAACCAAAATAAGAAATTTTATTTCAAAATGTTTAATTTTTTTCAAATTAAAATAAATGTAGCGTTAGTGGCGTGAAAATGTGGTTGCAATTAAAAATAAAGCCTTGTTAACCAAAATGCTCGAATGATTGTATGGATATTTGTAGCTGTCTGAAATAATGTTGATGTTTTTATTATTGTTTTATTTTTTTTATAAATATTGTTATTTTTTCACATACTTTACAATATTTCCTATAATTATTATCTGATTGCAGAATGGATTTTTTACGTAATTTAACATGATTACGTGTTAAGTATGGATAATTTGTTATTTTTAATTGTTGCAAAAATAATAATTTATAAAATGAAAAAAAAAATAATAACAATTACATACAATAATGATTTATGATTTATATAAACTATTATATGGAGAAGTTTTTTATGCAAAATTAATTTGTTAATTTTTATTACCGTTATTTGTTTTTTATGATTTATGGTGCAAGTAACCAATAATCGATAATGTATTTGAATTTTTTTTATTTACAGTTATACCAACTGAGACGGCTAATGCAGGGCTCAGAAAATACTCCGAAAGCTCCTTTAGGCAATAATGCACGACCGGTGCAAAATTTACATCATAGAACTGTTAGAACTAATATAGATTTTAAGAAAAATAAGGTGAGTATATTTAATAAAAAAAAAATTTCTACAAAATTATTTTAACATATAAAAAGTGTTAAATCTTTGTCAGAACTTTTAATTTCTCCACACAACTGAAATCATTAAATATTTATATTCGCCTTCACCAAACACTTGTAATTGAATATTCATTATAATGCATTAAATTCTTGTCTGTTCATTTCAATATTTGTTTGTTTATTTTCATTTTTTTTTTTTTTATTTACAGAATCAAAATGCTTGTCCTTCCATGTATAAGGATATGTATTATAGAGCGAATCGTTGGTCACCTGATACAGGACTATTGATTCGTTGACCCATTATGGATAAAAGCCGACATATAAATGGCAAAAACAATTATGATAATGATGGCGATGATGATGATGGTCATGTGATGATGACAACAAAAACAAAAAACAATATTAAAAAAACAAAAATAAAATTGGCTACAATTACAAAACAGTACAATGATAATGAAGATATTGGATCGGGAAACGGTAGTCTTATGATAATAGCTGCAGCAGCATTAACAACAACTAAAGCAAAAACACCAATAACAACAGCAGCAACAGCAACAATATTAACAACGACAACAACGGATGTTAAATTTAAATTTAATTTACCATTATATTTTCCGGTTAAAAACAACAAAAATTATTATGTCAACAATCATTATGACGATGATGATGGTGATGATGATGTTGACAATGACGACGAAGAGTCAAACTTAAAGGGTGACAATGATGTTGATGTTGTTCATGTTAATGTTGCTGATGACAGTAAGTATGAAAAGGTTGACCATGATGTTGATAATGGTATTAAATTTAATAATAATTATAATCATTATACTACCATAGACTCAGGTCTTTTATATAAGTATTGAAAGGCAGAACAGAACAAATATTACAAACAAAAACAATATTATATTTTATTTATTAATAATTTCTTTAAACAAAAATTTAATTTTATAAATATTTTCCGTTTTCGATTTATGGGAGATTTCATCGCAGTAAAACTAAATCATAATGTGCCTCTCAGATGTTTAGTTTTTAAAATATTTTAATAAGTTGTTATATCATAGTTATATCAAGCCTAGTTTAAAATATATTTCCAGGAATAGTTTACATTTGGCATTAAATTCTGAAAAATTAAATTGTTTCAGCTTTCAGTAAAATTTGTATTTTGGTATAAAAATGAAAATAATTTATCCTTATAAAATATTAAAATGATAAAAAATATTATATCTACCAAAATTCAATTATCTGCATAGATTTCAAGACCAAAATATAAGTCTGTCATATCTGTTGGAGATACAATCTTTCTGCGTCTTTTGCCATCTTTTGGTCAAAGGAAAAGGACATTTTCGTCAAATTCATCTCATCCGAGAGAAATGTATATAAGTTATACATGTCGTATGATTAATAATTGTCTATTTACCCAGCAAAAAAAGACGTGCAAAAAAAGTAGTAAATGCATGGGTTGACCTGATAATGAACTGGTTCATATTTAGGGGAAACATGCATGATTTTAACATTAGCGTGTCATTGGCATGCATGTGTTCGTATTTGGAAAAATAGTTCGTCATTTAAATGAGTTCTTATAACCAATGAATATTCGATGATTCTCAAGCGAATTTTCATTGGTGCACTATATTTATTTAAAAATGCATTAATAATGGTATTTCGATTTAGTTATCAATATTTAAATATTTTTTTGCGTGATATTGATAAAAATAAAATAAGATAAAACATAACTGATTTTTATTGGATTTAAATTCATGCAGAGGAAAAATACCCATTGTGTTTTAAATCCGTTAAGCAGTCTCGTTTTTTTCCTTCTCTTATTAATGTTAAAATGGACTTAATATTACTAGGTAGGTAGGTACCTACAAAAACAAAAATCTAATAAAAAATTAATGTCATTTTTAATATTTATTGTATGAAATGCACGTTTTCGTTAAATCTCCTAAGAGAATACCAAATTATAGTAAAATATTACAATTCCTATAGTGGAGTTACATGAGTGAATTTGGGTGCATTTTTCATGCCTTCACTGATGACAAATTTATTAGAATTTAGGCATGTATTTAAAACGCATTAAATAGAATACGTACTAAAGAAATCATGAAAATATCCCTTCTTCTTTAACAACATCAAATTTTTTTTGCTGGGTAACTGTATTGCATATTAAGTATACGCAGTGGTTTGAGGTTTAATTAAATTTAAATGAAAACTAAAGAAATGATACAAGTAACAAGGAAAGGATGAATAAAACATTAAACAGAAGTAATCGAGAAGTAGAGAAAACAAGAAAAAAGTGTTAAAGATAGAATTAAAGAAGAGTACTACGTCCTTGTTATGCATGATCGTACCAAGTTAGATACATTCAGGAATGCAATTAGACGCTCCAATTGAACGTTTGATACATCAGCTAGATCAGTATAATAGCTACTGCTCAGTTTTTGTTAACGATTCTTTCATAGAGCAGGACAATTACATATCCTCTTCATATTCATTTTGACAGCTCCTTCAAAAATGATTATATGGGAGTCCTATATGTACATATGTATATCTAGCATAATTTCCTAAGCTACAGGAACCAGTTATAATTGACACTAAAGACGTATTTATTCCAGGCCATAAAGACCTAGTGTTAACGCAATACTACTTTAGTAAAAAGCAGTCTTGAGAAAATATAATTCTAAGAGAAAGTCAACACAGAACTTGTCTATGTAAAAGATGTTACACCGCCTTATTTCACGGTGGTCTTTTTGATGCACTGGGTAGACTGAAGAACTCAGGTGGCAATTTTTTGTACATGGTTGTGCAGGTCCATGTACAAGCGCTTTGCTGAAGTAATCGAGCTATGTAATCTCTTGCCATGGTATCCCCGTTGCGGATCAATCCCAATGCAAACTCGACAAGGAAAAAGCAATCACTGGTCCAATGCCAATAGAAGGGAAGACTATCCCAACATCAGGTGAAATCAATCTTCCGGTATACCGGAAGGTGACCACCCTTATGAAGTCATGAAAGATTGCATCATTAACCATTCAAAGCCCGCGCAACCACACCACTGAGATTCGGCAACAGCACCTAGAGCCGATAAATCAGGATCCCCCTCTATGTCAGATAATGAGACAAAAGATGTAGGAATTTCCGAAGTAGTAAAGTAGAGGGTCAGACCTCAACTACAAGTCGCGTAGCATTAAACAATATGCATCCTGTTGAGATGGTAACAGCACCGAGAACTTCCCTGAAGTAAAAGGTCTACTAAATCAGTACTAGTCTCCTCTCGGGCATGGGAGTCTTTCCCGATCGTTCACTAATTACATCAGTTCCATTCTCAGACCATAAAGAACGATCTACGGAATGACAAGCAACTACCAAGTGTCAACCTGAAAATTCCTCAACTTATAATACGGGAAGTGTAAGAGATACATACAACGCCAGGACAAGTCCTGCGAGCAACTGGCCACCCGTAGTACCAGATTATCTGGTGCTCTGGTTAGACCCCATGTCAAATTATTTAATCGTCACCAGTTTGTAGTTCTGGCAGACTAGAGGTATTGCAATAACACCAAGATGGAAACATAACACCAAGGAAACATGCCCCCGGGGGTTGTCTATGTACAATTCACCCATAGACAATGACATTTCCGTAATTGTCTCCGTGTCGCTTGACCTATATAAATCTAATGTATACATATATACGAATGTATCGCCATCTCATTTAAAGAATTTTGATATTCGTGGACTTCTTAAGGTGAGGAATACGCACCGATAAGAGATTTCCTATAGTATCTTAGCCAATTTGTTGAATTGTTAATCGACGATTCTAATCTCAAAGAAAAAAATTCTTATTCCAAGGAGATAAGAAATTAGAAGCTTCTATATAAGAAATCAATAATCTCAGTCTAATCTGTAGACTCTTTTGATAGTCGCAGATAATCAATCTTTAATAGTAATCTAAGGTGGCATTAAAGACTTCTCGTATGGAGGTCGTATTAATTTGAGCGAAAGAGCTCGATTAAACCAAATGATTTCCTGTTCATTGTATGACTTTGACCAAAGAATTATTTTAGTAAATACCAACACTAATTTCATTTGATTCGATTCCTTTCAAACCTTTCTATTTGAAAGGAAAGCTTAGAAAAATAGTTTTCCATAACGAAATTAATTTCTACCAAAATCTTATGCAAATTTTACACAAAAATATAATTTACTGATAATTAATTCCCCTATGAAATCTCCCTTAATATTTTAACAGATTTTTAAATTAATTTCTATAATTTTCATATTAAAGAGAATTTTTTTCTCTTTTCATTTCATTATAAATTTTCATATAAAATTTTTTAATTAATACAAATAAAACATACAAACAAACAAAAAAGAAATTAACAAAACAAAAAACTGGATGGGTGGACAATAACTTTAAAAATAACTATTTAAAAATACGCATACACATGATTTATATAATAAAAAACAAAAAATACAAAAAAAATAATAAATGAAAATAAATTGCTATAAATAAATTTATAAAGTAAAATAAAGCAACAACAAAAAAAAAAGCAAAATATAGTGTTATTATACATATATAAATTATAAAAAATATATACATAACTACATACATACACACTATATATATACATAAATGTATGTATTGATAGTCTATACACTGGGGATAGTATTTAATAAAAATAATATTTAATATAAAAACTAACAAAAAATGTACTTAATCAAAAGATTAAAAATGGATTATACAAAACAAAACTCTTTATTTATTGCTATATTTTTTTCAAAAAAAATTTTAATTGATTTATTCGTTTCCTAATTTAACTAATCAAAATGCATTTTGATAAATTTGTATTTAATATTTTATATATTTATATACATATGTATATTTATTAAATATTTTATTAATTTTAAACTAAAGCCATTTTTTATATTTATGTATGTATGTAAATCTATATGTGTGTATATGAATAATTGTTAATTTATTAAATATTGAACAATTGACTCTTTTGTACTGGTTTTTTAGCTTTAAAACAATCATTAAATGTTTTTTGTGTGTTGTATAAATAGAGACAAAAATAGACAATTAAAAGGAATGTTTTATGGAATTTTTTTCATGCTTAACACAGTATGAATTTAAATTAAATTTTCATAAATTATACACGACGTATGATTAATATTTGTTTGATTGAACTGTATTGAATATTAAGTATACGCAGTGGTTTGTGTTTTGTTTTAACGTTTAATGAAATTTAAGATTTTTATTGAAATTTAACATAATTTTTGTATTGTTTGAGTAATGAGAGTCAGTACTAATGCATCAGATATACCAATACCGCCATAAAACATTTTAAAAAACAGTATTAAATTAATTTTATTTAATATATTTTCTAAAGGCAGTGTCAGGCATTTGATGTATTTCTATTCGTTCCACATTATTTTTAAAGGACTATAGTGCAATCACCACTGCGAATTTCCCATTTTGAGACAACAAATATGCAAAAAATAATAATAACAATAATGTCTGGCACTATAAATAAGTGTTTTGTGACCTTACATTTCGAGTTCTTAACACAGTTTGATAATTTGTATTTCAAAATCGTGTAATAATTGAAAAATGGAATAAGGGTTTTAAAGACCATTTTTCTGAAAACGTGTTTCTAACGTTTATACTTTTTAACTGTTCCGTTTACTTCTACTTACAAGAAAAATTAAGAAAATAATTTTCGCTAGACAAACAGAAAAGAAAATAGTATTTGTGTATGAAAACCAACCATCATTTCCCAGCAAAAATAAAGCGAAATAATTCCAAAAGAATAACATTTATCACCACTTCAAAAGTAGTAATCAGTGAACTTTTTACCTTCTATAGAAGAGATGTGTAATGACTTCCGAAGAAGCGAAATATATATTATATTATATGCTGAAGTTATATTTTTTGTTCTTACATTTTTGTGAGATAAAAAATTTTATTTTTGGGCTTCTATTTTAAATGTATCTATTACCCTTATTAATGTTAATATTTAGGTCAAATTAGTTGTATTCTATAATGATACAATTTACTTATTATGACAATTCTATCGTCTCCTCTATTAGGAATTAACTCAAGAAACCCTCATCATAAAGTTACATATACGTATACGCAATATTAATTATGACGATGAAATAAATAATAATCATACGCAACAGATGTTGGCAAAAATTAAAAATTTTAGAGAATGTTAATCTTTTCAAGAACGTTTACTATTTCAATATTGGAATTCAATTCAAAAATTACAACATTTAAGACCTAATGACTGTATTAGCCATGAAATAGTGGCTAAAAATAAAAAGCATATCTAAATATGAGAACAAATAAATGTGTATCTCTAAATATAATGTTTAAATAAGTTGAATATTAAACAAACCACCTTGAAGTTCAGACTGATTCAATAAAAAGTA